CTCCTCTCAAGCAAACCTAAACAGTTCGAGCATTCATAACCTTACTTAATTCATAGATAATTTTACTAGGCACACAGCACGAAAGTGAATTTGGGCGGCGAACACCGCCCAAGCTCTACGATTGCTGTTCTTATTCGTCGGCCAGTTTTTGTGGTGCTACTGTCAAGAAGCTAGCTCTTCAAAGACACAGGCAGTAGCCTTCTTGAAAACGATCTTCGTGTGATCGCGTGTCGCCACTTTTAGTCTCGAGAACACTTCCTAGCGGCGTTTAAGTAATGTTGAAGTCCAGGGGCAACTGTGTGCCACACTACCGTCGTCCGAATTTTTAAAATGTTCCGGTATTATCTCGGCGAACCTGATAAGTCGATTAGAAAAAAGAGCGTTACAAGCCCTACGTGTTCCTTGTGGTGTGCTTGAACACGATCGCAAACCTCATCTTTCCGACAAATCGATTTTTCGCCTTCGTAAGCAATTTTCCACAGCACCTTCACATTGGAAAAGTCTCCCGTCACACAATGAACTCTTTATCACAACGAGTACTTTCGAACACAAAGTGCCTGATTGAAGCTTCCAAGCCGAACGCCTACATAAAAGAACATAAAATAGGTTATATTAGCACGTTCTTTTCTTGTGAAGACCGATAGAAAACGAAATAAGTTTACGAGTCCTCGATTTAGTAGTTCCAAGGCCTGGTTAATGCTGGTTAATCGAGCCAGCCGTTTATCCTGACAAATTCGCTTAAAACGGCTCCTCATATGCTGCTAACCGGTTAGCCGCGGGCGTAAGGCATGCGCTGCGACCGCTTGATATGAGGTGAAAGCCTTGTAGACAGCATCATCTTAATGGATGGACGGACGCTCAGCGATCAGTTGCGGGACCTAATCATCCCGTTCTACCTTGAGGCTCCCCCGGGCCCCGCCAACAGTCGCATAGTAACTAGTATTATAGGGTGGTGAAAATTGTCGACCAGGGGGACTGGAATGGCCATTTCTGGTTTATCAGACGTCATCAGCTAGCCATATCCGAACCCCGTTCAGTGCAACATGCGAAGCTCAAGCGCGCATCCTGGTGATTAGGAGTCCAGCGCTCTAATGTTCTTTTGTCTATGATACTAGCCGCTGTGCAAGAGCTGTCGGGGCTCAAGAGAGAGAGGGCCCCAAGGCCGAACGGGAAAAAAGGTTTTGTAACCGAATGCTGAGCGTCCATCCCCCCCCGCCCCCATTGTTCACTTTCCCGATCGAAACCAACAGGACAACGAGCCCACGGCTCCACGGTTGGACTTCCCATCGATAAGTCGCGGGTTCGAGCTTCGAATGGTGCACTACTTGGGTTGGGTATGGGGACAGTTAATAGGTCTTCGCCGATAGACTTCATGCTATCATTAGCCGGTTAGGTCGCACTACGGACAATTGGGCAAACTTGATGGCCTGATTGATCCGAATCAACCGCATGCTACATTCATCGAAGTGTGCAGCGATATAATGTCTCGCAATGAACATGGCCTGGTTGACTCTCGCCAATTTTCTTGATAGTCCTATCGATAAGTTCTGTCTATACATAATCAGTGTCCCTTAAGTAGGCATGCAGTCCACCACCGGGTATCCGTAGAACTGACTGGTTTACGGACTAAAGGAATCTTTAATGTCCCAAGTAGTGTCGGTCTGTTTGCACAATTGGTAGACCCGTTTGTAATAACGCAGAGCTGGCGCTTATTTTGGAACTGGACGGTTCAACCTCACCTGCAAGCACGTCTGCTCTTCTTCAAGCAACCTGCTCAATGGAATTTATTCTGTCTACCGCGATAAAAGATGCCCTACATATCAGTGATTTACTTTCCAGCTCGAACCGTAGGACGTCCTTCAGACTAT